GTTGTGTACTGGAAAATCCAAATTCAATTCAGTCAAAGTAAAACATTCATTACATAATAATTGCTTTAGACTACTTTCCAGTACAACACTTTATCATCTATTTTCAGAGTGGAATTTTTCCAAAGAATTAAATAGGCATGGGATTTGTTATCTAACACAATCTATATCCCAACATGACCCCACGTTTTCTTACTGCCAGCATTCCCGGAATAAAATATATTTTCTATTATATGTTCTTCTAAGAACTTAGAGAACAGCTTTTTTACATAACCCATAAAGTACAGTTTTATTTATCCATCTACATATTGATGGCTTATAAAATATAAGCTCAATTATATTTTTGGAAATTGGATAGATTGAGGATACCTTCCTCAATTGGTAATCTCAATATAGCTAAAGAAAATCTTGGTGGTCCACATATGTTTGACACATTTGGCAGATAGGGCTGTGCTTAACTGCAATGTTTGGATTTTGAGTAGGAGTTGTCCAAATCCAAACATAAAATAATCTTTATTGTCATTTTTACTGTGGGCACACTGGCACACATTAAAAATGAAATTCTGTTGCCTACTCTCAAAAGTATATACATACAAACATACTATATACATACATATGTATATACAGACACCCTTATGTATAAATACATATAAATATTAATCACTGTCCATCTTGAATACATAGTAAAAAGAGGAATCTTGAGAGTTCAGAAGGTTGATACTGTATGGAGCAAAACTGTGACTGAATCTGGATGTTCTGCTTCGGATACCACGAAGCCTCCTCCCAGAAGGTAACAAGGAAAACAGGTTATTAAGAGGATGTGTAGTGTCCCAGACAATACTGTGGACCTTGCTCAAACAACAATTATATGCTATGTCCTGGATAAAAGGGAGGGAACTATCAACAATCTTTTCTGCCATCCTCACTACTCTATGCACAGCCTTCCTGTCTGATGTAATAACACTTCCAAACCAGACTGTAATGCATTATGACAGGATGCTCTAGATCATCCCTCTATAGAAAGTGGTAAGGACATGCGATGCAGAAAATGCAGGTGCTGCTTTGCCCGTTTCACCAGTGTCTCGCTGTTGAGTGACCAAGCCAGCCAATGGTGAACTATAAGCTATGATTGATAATGTATAACAATTTGATGTGTAAACCTAGCCAATTGGGCATATTCAACCATTATGATTCAGCAAACTATAACTTAATAGATTATGTATACCAGATTTTACAATGAATTTTAATGTATGTATGTCTAGTCACTATATGGAGTGGCTTTTATTGTGTGTCAAATGTCCACTCTATACATTCAAAGGAATAGTTTGAACCCATTTCAAATAACTACACCAATGACCAATCCAGTGTTGTCTAAAATATTGTCTCCCCATCAATACCAGTGACCAAACTTATGGGACACCCTTAGGTAATAAGAGTTGGAGTCAAATCTATCTGGAGGATGCCAAATAACTTGGGGGCGAGCAGCAAAGAGTTTCTAGTAAGAAACTGAATCAAATCTACTCCATGATTCAAGCAGCCAGCCAGCAATCCAAAATAAGGGCATCTTCTCCGTATCTTCAATTCCCGCCATTGGAAGAACAAGGGAAAGTGTATTATGATCAGTTGTGTTACACTTTTTTGAGCTAGGTGTCTATTCTCTAGTACAGGACGTTTCAACCAGTGGTATGCATATACTTGGCTAGGCTGGGCAGGGTCACGTACCATCAGTGGTACATTGGCACCTGGCAGGTGGTACATGGCCCTGCACATCCTAGCCAAGTATAGCAGGGGAGGAAATGAGCCAAAGTCACACAGTGAGAGAGTCCTCAGGAGTTGCAGGATCGGCATTTCCGGCTCACCCGGAAGAGAAAGGAGGGGGGGGGGCAAAGACAGGAGAAGTTATAAAAGGAGACAGTTTGGGTGAGGGAGAGAAAAAAAAAAGACACAGCCTTGGGAGGAAGAGGAGTCAGCTGGAGCTGCACTGGAGGGAAAAGGAGGAGGAGGGGGGGGAGAGAGGAGATCAAACAGGCCAGCCGGAAGCCGATCAACAACTTTTGTGGCAGACATCTGTGCCGGGCACATACACAGGTGGCAGTGACAAACAGACAAGAAACTCAGCGAGGGAGGGGTTGACCTCCATGAGGAATAAAGAAAGGCAGCATCAGCTGGAGGTGAGGCACAGAAGGATGGAGGGAGGGAGGAGATGGCAATGAGAAAGTGGGAGGTAGAGAGCAGGAGGGAGAGAGGGAAATGAAAAGGAAGGACGTGTTGGAAGAAAAAGATGGGGGGCTTACTTTCCACCTGGGAGGCTATACAGTTAAGAGAAAAGGAAAAAAATGAAGCACCGTGATTTGAAATAGGCGAGAGGAAGCCGGCTGCTCTGGCTGCCTGAGAGGAGATGTTTATTGGCAGAAGCAAAGTGCTGTTTCAGCAGTTCAGTTCTGGATCAGCTGAATCCTTCAGTGGAAGGATTCTTATATAATTTTGTGACTTTGAAGTTTTGGGATTTGTGCAATGTGGGCTTTGTGTTCTTAAGGAGTGTTTGGCAATTTCTATTGTGGCTGATAGCTGATGTCCTGTGTTGGATTTTGGATTTTAATTCTATTGCTCTGCTATTGTTAACTGTAAGTTTTGCTGTAAGGGATATTGAAGTATTTTTGTCCTGAATGGATTTTGCCTGTAGCATTCGTTTACTTATGAATGGAGTCATTTGGGGAGGCTGCCTTAGCCGGCAGCCAGTACTACATTTTTTTTCCCTTTAAGTATAGGCTGCCTGCTCCTTAACTTTCCTTTCTAACCAGTAGCTAATTATTAAAGGGGAATGTGCCTTTTTAAGCTAGTTCCCTCAGCAGCTTGTCTTTTCTGTCTCTTCTGCAGGGATGTGAAAATGCCGGCCCATGGGCTGGATGCATCATCTGGAAGCTGTGCCCACCCCATTGCCAGCAATTACAAAACTGTCCTGATAGTTGTACGACATCACATGACCTCACGAGTTTGACATGTCTGCTCTAGAGGCTTTTCCTTGTTTGATAAATATATGGAAAAGGGAAAATATGGGGGGGGGGTCAAATTCTTCCTTCAGAAGGAAGGAGATGGAAAAGAGAAAGAGTGAGGGAAGGAAGGAGGGAGGGAGGGAAGGAAACAGGAAGGAAGAGGGGAAGGAGATTGGAATGAAAGGGAAGGAGGGTCTGAAGGAATTCCTGCCTTAGCACTTGATCACCAGCAGCCCTGCCATTGACTTTGCTTGTTAAACAGTTGCAAAAGGGGATCACATGACCCTGGGACACTGCGACCATCATAAATATGAATCAGTTGCCAAGCATCCAAATATAAATCATATGACCCTGGGGATGCTACAACAGTCATAGTGTGAAAAATGGTCATAAGTCACTTCAGTACCATTGTAATTTTGAACAGTCACTAAGAGAATTGTTATAAGTCAAGGACTATCTATACTTTATCATTTTTTTCCTTTTTTTTTTTGATCTTCAAGTTTTTGACACCTTGCTAGGTGGTACTAGAATATTGCCATATCCTAAAAGTGGTACAGTTGGTGAAAAGGTTGAAAAGCCCTGCTCTAGTAACAGCCTGAGTGTGTGCTGTTGTCCTTTGGGACAGAGAAGGTGCAAGGCTGAGAATTAAGGCTGGGGGAGCTGTGCGAACGTGGCAGCAACAACAGCATCTGGGGAACTTTCACGTGCGTAAAGCAGGAGAGAACCCGAGGCGATTACTTCAGAATTTATTTCAGAGGTGGGGGAAACCATTGCGGCAGCTTCTAGGGGGAAATCCCGGTCCGAGAAGGGGAGAGCAAAACACCTGCTTCCCTGCTGTTCGAACCTCGTTTTTTCTTCTCAAGACACCCCCTGCTCGTTGCGTGGGTGTGAGCCGGGTCGGCCCACCTGCCGCCTTCCCAGCAAGTTCCCATCCAGAAGCTACGGTAGATAGTGAGGGAACCACAGATGTGATTTCAGCCGGGAGCGGATTATCATTCCGGGGACAGAAGAACCTTCCTTTAGCAAATCTTAGATAAAATCGACGCGATCCCTTACTGTTCTAAGCCCCTCTCGGGGAAAGTTTATTCCTGCAGGACTAACGGCGCACAAAGATCAGAATCAGAGAATGCGCGGGAAGGGGACAAATCAGCCTCAGTAAAATGAGAAAAGCCAACTCTGAGGGCGTCGCCTCTCTCTTTAACACGAGGCGCTTCGATCTGACTTTGCTGCGTTTCGGCAACTCGAGGGAAAAGATCGGGATCCCTTTTGGGGAAGGAAATGATTTCCCAGAGGATCGGTCCGTCCTCGACGAAGGTGCCTCAAGCCAATGAGGATGCTCAATCGGTGCTCTTTGGAATGACGCAGTCCGCCCGCAAGGCACTCCTCACGCTTTGAATAACTTGCGAACGGCTTGTAGTTTCTCTCCAAATACACGCAAGATTGCATTGCCAATCCACCATTCTCTGCGTTTTTATTGGCAAATCGGTTCCTCTGGCTACCGTGGGATTTCAGTGGCAATCCTATGTTTAATGGAACCGTGAAAAAAAATAATCTCGCCGAATTGGTTAGGGTCTGCTTCTGAGCAGCTGTGTGCACGGCAGCAGTGCAGCTTCTGAACAGAATGAGTAATGTGTCAATAAGAGTCTAGCCAAACGAGGCTTATTTCTCAGCACGCCTGCATAAAGTTATGCTGCCTGAACGTGAAAAATAGCTTCACCTTTTTTAAACAATCAATCACGCCTTCGTTGCATTTTTAAAACCGGCTCATATTGTTAAATTATTAAATAATTCAAATTATTTTTTTAAAATCAGCTTGGATTCCCTTTGGAAAGACGTGCAAAAGAACAAGCCCTCCCGTAAAGTTGCATTCCAACAAAGGCAACCCTCTGGTTCTTTCCCCGTTGCTTAGATGCCCCTCCCTTCTTAATCCGGCGAGTTTCCATCCCAAGCAAGAAAAAGAGCTGCTGGAGCTTTAAGAGCTGCTTCACCCCCTCTGGTCCTCCTAACAATGGTCTCAACCGAGCTCTGCTTCCCAAAGCAAAAATTGTAATATGCCATTTTTTTCTCATGGACGTTTCCCCTTTGCTGCTGCCAACGAAGTGACAGGAGAAAATGCTGAGGTGCCGCCAAACTGCTCCTGCTGCCGGCCGAAGGGGGCTGGGTGGGCTTCCGGCGTCTTCTCGGAGCAGGAGTGGCGGCGTCTGCAGTAGCCTTGCGAGGGAGGCGAGTTGAACAGCGCCCAGCTGTGGGTGAATGAGCGCCCATCGGAGGCAAAGAGGGAGAGACCGAAGCGGCCGTTGGCACCGATTCCCTGAAGACCCGGGAAGGAGAACGAGCTTTAGGTATTGCAACCTGCCTCGCCGGCGGCACAGCCCTCCACTGGAAAGCCGGTCGGCAGGTGCAAACGTCGCCGCTTGTGCGAGGATTATTTTGCGAGAGGAGGACCTTATACAGGTTCTTTCGGTGGGGGTTGAGAACGGGGTTTTGCTATATGTAATATCTGATAAGCCAACTTAGTCAGGGTTTTTTCCCCCCCTTCTTTGGGTGATGGGTTGGGTTTCTGGATGCTGAAAGAAAAAAAAGGCCAGAAGGAAGACTCAGTTCTTTATATCAATAGCTGCTGCTCTAATTTGGAGAAGAGAGTGAAACTGCTTTTCCCCACGCACCTTCCCCCCCCTTTTTAATTTAAAGGTGATCTCACAGCTCAACTGAAAGCTCATGGAAGGGAAAGAGTTAACTAGGAGGAGGAATACGCATGCAGTGTGAGTCAGACAATGGCACAGATTCTCCTTACAGTATTGCTCTTCCTGGGTAAAGTGAGCTGCAGCCACTAGCATCTCCAACTCAGGAGGGGTGCCTTTGTAAGGATGGGCTGGTAGCTTCAGGAACACCATTCAAAGAGCTGCTTGGTGGTTTTAAATAGGAGTGGCTAGAATGAAGTACAAGAAGGTGGGATGGGATGGTTCTAAAAGCTGATGTCACAGCTGGCACAGATCAGGCCATAAAAGGGTGGTGATGATAATGATGTTGCCAAGGTGTGTAATTAAGTTTTCTTTCCTAAGAATACAGAAATAAACACTTGATAGATTTAAGGATTGAAAAATAAAAACAAAATCCACTTTAAGCTTTGAAGGTGTACTATATTCGAACTGTTGTCTAATAAGGACTCCTTTTGGTTGTGTTCACCGATTGTTCTTCCGACTTCCTCCATGCAATAAAGAATTCTGATGAGTAAATGGAGAATCAATGCAAACCACTGTGGAGAAAATTGGTATTAATTTGGAAGAGCTGAACTAATATTCACCTTCAGATTTGGGACTTTGACTTGAAGTTTCTAATATCAATAATTCAATAGAATCTGATGGGTGGAGTCAAAACATAAGGAGTACTATAGAGGTTAGCTAAGGTTCTTTTTCTCTCTTCCCTTCTAAGTAAACCAAATACAGTGATTTAGATTTAGTAAAATATGCAATTCAGGATGATGTGCATTTAGAAATACCAAAAAAAAAAAAAAAAAATTCAGTGGGATCAAATGGTTTTGGAATATTTATTTATTTGTTAGATTTCCATCCCATTGCAATCTAATGAGACTCTTGGCAGCTTACCAAAAGGACAATACTGGACAATCAAGAGCAATAGAATAAAATATAATGGGCTAAGAAATGCATGGAAGCTGCTGGTGAAAGACTGGGAGCAAAGATGACTGGGCATGAGCTAGAGCTGCTATGAGAGCCTACCTTGTGGTGAGGGCTGCAAAATGTAATTATTTTTCCACCCTTAATGTATTTGCTCATAGTCACTCAGCAGCCCTGTTTCAGATGACTCCTTGGAGTAATACTGAAGTCACATATAGGAGCACCACGAGGAATACACTGTATATCTGGCTCACATTTGTTCTATGTAAGACCAAGGATGGAGTAGAATTGATAAAGGTGGAGGTGGCTACATGATCTGGAAGGAGTCTGAACCCATGGAACAGGAAGAAATGGATAGGGCTCTCGAAGCTGCTAGTTTGGCCACTTACGTGTTTAGAGCCATGCCCCTCTTAGCTTAACAAAGCTGCACAGGAGAGATTGGGTCTAGGCAGTAGTTAACTCCTCCTTGAGAGAGGGAGCAATCCTACACAGTCTTAAAAAAATGATGGTACATCCCTCCTAAAAGGACCATTGTTCGACCCAACTAGTCTAGACAATCTCCAATTTTCCCTTTCTAGGGATGTTCATGGAGAGAGTGGTCTTATGGCAATTTAGAGGACCCTGGATGAGGCAGGTTATCTAGACTTCTTTCAATTGGGGGTCAAACCAGCATTTGGTATTGGGATGGCATCTATCATCCTCATGAATGACCTCTTGCAGGAGTGGAATGGGGTAGTACATCTATCTTGGCTCTCGACCTCAGCAGTGTTCAATACCATTAATCATGGTATACTTCTTGGCCATCTTTGCAAATTGGGAGTGGGTAGCACTGTACTGTGCTAGTTTCCTCCTTTCTCTGTGGACAGTTCAATCAGTGTTGATGGGAGAGGAGAGATGAAGCATATGGCCCCTACTTTGTGGGGTGCTCAGAGTTCGTTCTCTCTCCTATTTAACTGAGGTTGCTGGGTGAGGTTATCTGTCAGTTTGAGGTGAGACCTCCAGCCTTCTATCTCTATGCTAGGGTCCCTGGGTGACGCCATCGATGCCCCATCTAGTACCTTGAGGCTATTAGGGGCTGCATGGAGCAAAATAGCTTCTGACTCAATCTTGGCAAGACTCAGTGGCGGAGACAAGAGTCTTTCATTCTTAGTTCTGGATGGGATAGCATTGCCCCAGACAGACCCAATGCACAATCTGGGGGTCTTTCTAGACTCATGGCTCACAGGTCTACACATCAAGGTCCCGTTAAACTGATCTGTTGCTAATCAGGCCTATGTACTGGAATTTTCTCAACTGATGGTTAATACCTGCTTGGGGTTAGATAAGGATCAACAGAATTCAAAGGAGGTTGGACTTATTTTGCTTGTAGCTACATGGGGATTCTAGGCTGATCCCTCTTTTAGCTCTGTCCCCAGGATCTGCCACTGCTTCTCCTATGGCTCCTGCTTGATGAACAACTGGCAGCTAGGGGAGCCTTTGCACTCTTTTGGGTGGTATGCCAGTTGAATCAATTCCCTGGTTGGGAGGCCCTGCTCACCATCAGCCATGCCCTTGTAATTTCTCACTTAGATTACTGCAATATATTCTACATGGGTCTGTCCCTGAAGAGCATTTGGAAACTTCAGCTGGTGCAGAATGTGCCTGCTCAGGTAGTAGATATATAGCACATGTAACACAACTAATATCAGTGCTGCATTAGCCACCAGTATGTTTCTGAGTGCAATTCAAGGTGTTGGTTTTCATCTTTAAAGCCATACATGGCTTGGGACTAGGTTACCTAAGGAACTGCCCTTTTCTAAAAGTCTCTATCAGTCCAATTTGATCTACCAGATTAGCCATGCTGCAGAGCCTGTCAGCCGAAGAGTGTCAACTGGGAGGGAACCAGGCCTTTGCTGCAATAGCCCCTGCTCTGTGGAACATTCTCCCTTGGAAGATTAGAATGGCTGACCTTTCATAAGGCTTTACAGCCTAGGCTCTGTACAAAAGCCTGGGACTCTGAAGTGTTAAGAGTCCCATTTCTTGACTTTACTGTTAATTGGCTTTACTGTTAATTATCTTGGCTGCTGTAAGTATTTATTTTGGATTTTTAAATTGTTTTAAATGTTTTAATTGCTTCCATATTTTTAGAATGATAAGCTGCCCAGAATTGAGATAGGCAGTTATAGAAATTAAATAAATAATGCTGTAAAAACACATAGCACACATACTGTTAATTTGGTTTTTTTAGGGTAATCAAATTGTTCTGTGTTTATTTAGATCTTTGCCATTCCAAAACAAGTCACCTGAAAGTTTGCTACAACAAATTAATGTATTGTTTAAACTCTGGACTAAAAATAATTTTCACAGTGAACTAGAGTTTGTTTATAAAGTTAGATTTGTATAATTTTATCAAGCTGTATTTTGATACAACAAATACATGATAACTGTATCCTTGATGAACAGAACATATGTTTGTGGAAAGAAAATACTATGCTCAATCCTTGGCACTTCCACTTTAAAGAAAAACCAGGGTTGCTGGGCTGAAAGACTGTTATCCTTTCAATGCCTACTGGAGTATGTGATTGAACTACATGGATAACAGCAGAGCTTCATTATGTTGGGAATTGTTATTCAAGAAACAGTATCAGTAAGAAAAAAAATCAGAAGTACAGGACTTTTCATCTGGGTTACAGCAAAATAGGAATACCCTTTCTGGGGTACTCCATGCTACTTCTCTTTTGCAAACTCTTATAAAAAAAAACAAAAACAAATAACATCTGACAGATGTGAGGAATTGAGGACCAAGTGAGAGAGAGTTCTATTGATGTCTCTATGAGTTCATTTTTATTTCACCCCAAACCCTCCTTCAGTGTCACTCAAGATGTAATATGTACTTGTTTGTGTGCTCACAACTGACAACCATTGATTTCACAGTGGTCCAAAGTTATGACAGTCTTATGATCTTTATTCACACTTACAAACATCACAAATCATCACACCACTCCTGTGGTTGTGTGGTTTTAATTAGGTACTTGACAACCAGCTCACATTTACAACTAATTGCAGCATCTTGCAGTCATGTGATTATAATATGTGACTTTTTTTGCTGTTTTTCACTACATTTGCTTAATGATTATGTGATTCCTTTAATAAACATGGTGACTTGCTTTATGACCATTGTGAAAATGGTCATAAGATCAGATCTAGATAGACAATCCCAATTTGCAATTGCAATTCTGGTCCCAATTGTGATCGTCAGTTGAGATCTGCCTATCCTGGATGCGCTGTAATACTGGTCTTCTATAATATCAATTATTCTTGTGTCAAAATATGAATAAATAAAATGGATCTGTCAATCAGTATGGTGCTCATAGGCACACTATTGGCCCTGACACTCTATGCCTTAATGAGCTGTCAGCTGGGTTTATTGATTTATTTTCTGATGTTCATGGAAATGCTGGACTTAGGAAAGTTGGATATTCCCATAGCAAACTAAAATGAGTAAAACTTCCATCCCTATTAGTTGGGATGGAACTCATATCAACAGGGCTTCTTCCTTAGTTCATCCCACATCCCTCCTATGATCTGTCTGCCAGGATTTTTTTTTTTAAAAAAAAATATTTTGACATAGAAATACTAGTTTTCCAAAAAAACCAATATTCTCTTGTCAGAAGAAAAGAAAAACTAGCTAGCTGACAGGTCAGTGAGATTTGGGAAAGGCACAGAATGGTCAGAAGTTGTGTCAATGTCTCTGTGATTCACTCCCATTCCACCCAAATCTTTTTACCACACTGATTGGCAGCTGGGATATTTTTATAGTACTGACAGAAGAATTCTGTAGTGACCTATCATAAAATAGAAAGACCTGGGTTCTTTCAGGCAACTTGAATTATAGTTAAACCCTCATTCAGGCACTTGGTTGGGATCCCCTCCATCACATGTTATGGAAAGTTACTAGGTTTAGGTTTGGGGGGGGGGTTGAGTCAGAGGTTGCTGAGTGGGATGGGAAAAGTAGTCACCAGTCACTGCCTTAAAACTGTCTGCATTAATTTTCTCAGGAGAGCATTATTAACTTGCATTGCTGCTGATTAACATTAGTTATGGAGCAAGACAATTTATATAAGCATACTTTTCTGCTAATTCAAGCTTGGAAGGAGTTGATATTATTTATTTATATCCCACCTTTATTAGTATTTTTAAGTGACTCAAGGTGGCAGACATACCTACTACCAACAATAATACCTTGTGCGGTGGGGTGGGTTGAAAGATAGAGTGACTGGTCCAAATCACCTAGCCAGCTTTCATACCTAAGGCAGGACTAGAACTCACAGCTTCCTAGCTTCTAGCCTGGTGCTTTAACCACTAGACCAAACTGGCTAACATGGCTGTAAGGAGGAACCATTTGGTGGTTTTCTCCTTTTCTCTCACAATTTGTTTTCCCATTTTTTTTTATAAAAAAGCCAATCTGTCTTCATTCAAACCTCTAAAGTACTCTCAGTCTATTGATATCTCTTTTGTGAAGGATGAACATTGTGAATGAAACATTGTTTACATGAGATCTTCATTCAATCAAGCTGTCTTTAAAGTAGAATTAGACACTCAAAATAATATGAAAAGTTCTGAGTTCTTAAAGCTAGATCATCTGTGTAGTCTTGCAAATGTTCAAATTGTGTCTTTTTCATTATATATATATCTTTTATAAAATCTTTATTTACTATATTCAGATAGTCATTGTTAAGATGAGAATACCTTGTTAAAATCCATTTTAACTGATCATAGGGCAAAATTAATCATTATAATATACTGTAACTTTTAAAAAGTTCCAGGGTGCCAATGAACTTTAAAAATCTTTGATCTTCTTGATTTAAAGATGACTGTTATGAGAAATACCATATTTCTGACTTAGTTCATTTTTAAACATGTCTTTAAAATAATAAATAAAATGCTGTGGGAAAATGCTTTGGAAAGAGTGTGGGTGTATATGTGAGTGACTGTGTGTAGTAACAATAAATAAATAAATCCATCAGCTTTTCCATTTGTAAAGGTAAAAGTCATTAAGACCATAAAAGGAATAAAAAAAATCCATTAAGAATAACTTTACTAAGTCAACTCAAGTTTATAAAATGATATATCAAATTACACACACACATATCATTTACAGATAGTCTTCGACTTATGACCACAATTGAGGCTAAAATTTTTGTTGCTAAATGAGACAGTTAAGTGAATTTTGCACCGTTTTATGACCTTTCTTGCCACAGTTGTTAAGTAAATCACTGCATTTGTTAAGTTAGTAAGATGATTGTTAAATGAATATGGCTTTTCATATTGACTTTGCTTGTCAAAAGGTTGCAAAAGGTGATCACATGATGCTGGGACACTACAATTGTCATACATATGAGTTAGTTGCTAAGTGTCTGAATTTTGATCACATGATCATAAGGATGCTGCAATGGTCATATGAAAAACAGTCATATGTCACTTTTTTCAGTGCCGTTGTAACCTCAAACGGTCCCTAAATGAACCATTGTAAGTCAAGACAATCTGTACCTGTACATGCTTTTGAATTTTCAAAAACTTTGCATTGCATCAAATGATTGCACCAAGTGATCATGATATAGGAAGCATAAAAAGAGAAAAAATGTCTGAGCTGCATTTATATTGCTTCATAAGGTTTATTTGGTGCAGCTTGTTGGTATGAAAAACTAAGAAAATGGTTAGTTCTTTATTTTTGAAAATATCAGCTGTAAAGCTAAATCTGTTTCTGTCCTCAGGCAAGTCAAACATACCAAGGTTAAAGCTGGATAATATAGTATTTACAGTAAAAATGAGTTTACTAAAGAAAAAAAACAGCACATTCTTAGAATTTTGAAGTTTGCAATTTTTTAAAAAAAAATCATGGATGTCTTTATTTTTAAATAGTGAAATACATTTTAAAAAGGTATATCAAAAGAAAATAGACATTATTAGACAGAGTAAAAGAGTAGGCATAGTATAGTGAATTAAATTAACGTGATAAAGAAAATAGTAATTAAGAGAAAAAAATCTCTACAACTATACAGAACAATATGCAGTTAAGTCAGTCTTTAAGTTTGTTGTTAAAACTAGACCTAACAACATATTGTGTGATCTTTTAATTTTTAGAACACAGATTTTTCAAAAACTGATAATAAACTCATATCCCGGATCTGTTCCTTAAAATTAAGACAGTAAGTTTCTTTTTATTTTATAAAATTTTCACCTTTATTGTGCTCCAGGGTTGGTAGACTAAAGCTCTTCATTATATGGCAAATTTCATGTTTTAAATATATTGTTCAGCATCACATTGAGAAACTTAATTATAATATTACTGATGTATATAATAATTTGAAACCAAACCAAAACTATAACTGGATGAGGCCAAATCATATCAATTAAGAAACTTCACATTTCTTAATATGCCAGCAAATCTAATCTCCATTCCTTTTTACATTTTGAGTGGCTATAATAAGCATTAAATAATATTTACTGATGAGTTAATTTCATCTTTAAAACCCAAGAAGTATATTTCATGTTTCTTAATAGCTGGACACATTTATTCTCCAAAATTGGCCCATCCAATTCTTCATACTAAAATTCAGATATATAACTTGCATTTACTTCCTTATTCTTTCTAATTGAATTGTTGGTTTCTATTCAATTGGTGCTTCTTTTAAGGAACTTACTGTATATCCCTTTTTAAAGCATTCATCCAAGGTAACTGGAAAGGATTTTAGAGTCCCACTTCCTTTGAGTCCAAGGGACCATAAATATTTGTAAGAATCTGAAAGCCAAGCAACTTATAACATGAATCGAAACCTGTTTCAGAATTTGTATAAGGCTGTTCTTTGAATGAATTTTGATATCATTCTTCTCAAGCTTCGGCAGTAGAACTTGGCAGTAAATCTCAGTTCTCCAGACATTTAACCCCTAATTCAGATATAGGGAATCCTCAGCCATATCTTTATTAGATTAGACTCTGTATTCTAGGGGAAACTGTAGCCTTATATAGATTTATGGTTTGTTCTCTGAAATGCAAAGAAGTGAGCAATTTTATGCATTTCTATATCTAGCGTTTAAATAGTGGGCTTTACCCTGTTTCTAAGTTATCTGAAGGTTTAATGGCCTTTGGTGGTTAGACATATCTATGTTATGGTTCTCTCTAGCCTGGCAACTGTTGGGCTTTCACCCTGTCAGATTCAGTTCTTAACAGGCTCTCTGTGCATAAAACTGAAGTCTTATTAGAATTCTTCTATGTTTTGTTTGGAAGAGCCAGCTGCCGGCTTGTCTAGTCAGATTAGGAATAGATTCTGACAGTAATTCTGCTTTTGGTTTTTATCTCCCCCAATTCTTTGCAACTCATGAAAGGTCATGATCCACAGTTTGACAATCCACCCAGAAAAGGATGAACAATATTTCAAACCAAAAATTATAGTTTGAAGAACTCCAGTTGTTATTGACATGGCTGTTTACAGAAAGGGGCAGATATTTTGCTTCTTGTTGATTATATAATGGGTTTAGCTTTTGTGAGTCCAATTCATATTTACATATGTTTTAACTATTTTAATGATAGCTAAGATTAAATATAGTGATTCTGCTTATTTTCATTTAGTTAATCTGCATAACTAATATAAAATATCTATGATATTAACCATTAATATTTATTAAGAATCTAACTAGGCAATTAACATTCTTTTGGTTATTATATTGATGTATTCTCATTGTGTCCTTTTTCATTGTTTATTTTATGGTTCTATTACTTTTGTTTACACTCCTTTCATTTTGCTTCTTTTTTATTATTGGAAGTTGCCTAAAATAGTCCCACAAGATGGGTGCCAAATAAATTTAACAAATAATTAAATTAAATAAATAAATTAGCTTTCTTGGAAAATCTCTCCTAGCTGAAGGGTTATCCTCTATACCATAGGCAAACAGCCATGAACAGAAGCTTGGGTTTCTTTAGCTGAAAATTGACAATGTATTCTTTTGTATAGAGGTCCGAAGCAGAGTTGTTCATGATAACACAAAGTATATACAAAGTAATAAGGGGAGGAAGATCATTTAAACAAAAGCCAACTTTAAGTAAACAAGCAAACTCTGCCATGTTTTCAAAATACACTGTATTCTGTGCTAGCTGAGACTTAAGTATAGAACTGCCCTGAGAGAGAGAGAGAGAGAGAGAGAGAGAGAGAGAGAGAGAGAGAGAGAGAGAGAGAGAAATGCATACAGATATCATGGCATTATAATACATTTTTAAATAGATACTGGGCAGCTTTTGGCCTAATAGTCAAAAACAAAACAATATGAGGCAACTGAATAATATAGGGCCAATCTCTCTCTCTCTCTTTCTCAATGTATGTATGTATGTATGTATGTATGTATGTATGTATATATGTGTGTGTGTGTATGTGTGTGTGTCCCTCTCCCCCCCTTCATAAATCCTCCCTCCCTCCTCTCCCTCTCCCTTTCCCTCTCCCTCTCCCCCCCTTCATAAATGAAAACTTTTGGCTTCCTCTTACTGAAAGTTTTCTTCTTTTCTCTCTCTCTTCATTTTAAGAAATGATGTGCGAAGTGATGCCTACGATAAATGAGGACACCCCAATGAGTCAAAGGGGGTCCCAGAGCAGTGGATCGGACTCCGATTCTCATTTTGAACAGCTAATGGTAAATATGCTGGATGAAAGAGATCGTCTTCTCGACACTCTTCGGGAGACACAAGAAAGTTTATCTCTGGCACAGCAACGACTTCAAGATGTAATTTACGACAGAGATTCTCTGCAACGACAACTGAATTCTGCACTACCCCAGGTTGGTATATTCATTCTCTGCAATGTTAATTTATAAACATTATTTCCTCTTCGTTTACTCTTACATGTGTGTGCACACATACATACTCACACACATACAGATTCTTTAACAATTAGAAGTACAGTAAATACATAAATATCTAATCCTGTTTGCAAAAGAGGAAGCTGCCTTATTTTTTTATTAAAAGTTTTACAAATTTAATACAATATAACCCAAACCCTCCCACCCCTTCCCCCTTCCCTCACTTCCCAGAGCTGATTACAGGGTAACAAATGAACAATTATAATCTAACTAACATTACCCGACTATACTATCAAAACAATCTGTAACATACTTTAACTCCTTTTCAAAACAAATATTAACTAATTAAAAACAAAAATAATAATATAATTAAACCATAACACTAAAAATAATATAAATTCAACCATATTAAACTATTAATAATAATCTAAAATCTACTCATAAGTAAGATAATACTTTTCAGTCTCATATTTCTTTTGAATATAATCAATCCATCTTCTCCAAACCGAAATATATTTTTCTTGTGAATGGTCCTTCAAATAGGCGGAGATTTTCGCCATTTCTGCTAAATTAGACACCTTAAGTATCCATTCTTACATAGTAAGCAAAGAATTTTTCTTCCAATATTGCCCCACCAATAATCTTGCAGCTGTTATAAGATTCAGCATCAAATTAATTTCTTTAACATCAAAATCAACCATAATACCCAACAAAAATAATTGTGGAGTAAATTTTATCTTTCTCTTAAAAATCTTTTGAATATTCCACCAAATCTTAATCTAAAAAGCTTTTATATCTCTACAAGTCCACCAAATATGAAAATAGGTTGCATCTAAACTTCCACATCTCCAACATTTGGACTGTAAATTAGGATACATGCGGGGCAACTTTTGGGGATCCAAATGCTATCTATAAAACATTTTGTAAAAATTTTCTCTTAAATTTTGCGCTTGGGTAAATTTTACATTTCTAACCCAAATTGTCTCCCATGTATCCAATAAAATTGGCTCTTGAATATTTTGAGCCCATTTAACCATACAATCTTTAACTAACTCCATTTCAGAATCCAATTCTATTAAAACATTATAAATTCTCTTTACATGTGCTCGATTTTGATCTTTAATCTGTTTTACCAAATTCACATCCTCTAAAGTAATACCAACCTTTTGATCTAAACTCCATCTAACTAACAATTGATTATACTGAAACCAAGAGTGTACAATATTTTCTTGCTTCAGCTCAGTTAAAGACTTTAGTTGCCAATCCTTCCCTACCAAGCTAATTAATTCCTTATAAGAAATCCTATCCAAATTCACACCCCTAGATATTCCCTCTATCACGTGTCCAAGAATCCCCCAAATTGGAATCTTATAATTTAACCTATAATAATACTTCTTCCAGACACGCAACAAAGCACTTCTCAAAATATGGGATTTAAAAACCTGATCTACTTTTTTGTCATAAATTAAATATGCATGCCATCCATATAATAAATCCCATCCCTCAAGAGAAAGGATATTTTTATTTGTTAAGTTGAGTCAATCACTAATCAGCATTAAAGCCACCGCATCATAATACAATTTTAAATTAGGCACCTTAAGTCCTCCTCTTTCCCGTGCGTCTTGTATAATCTTAAACTTAACTCTTGGTTTTTTCCCTGCCCAAATAAATTTATTAATCCCCTTCTGCCATTCCTCCAAATTAACATCTTTTTTCAAAATAGGTATCATTTGAAACAAGAAAAGAAACTCTCTCACTTCCCCCTCTGTGTCAGAGGACACCAAGTTAGCAAGGTATAGTTAAAATGGTGGCATAAATAATATGGAAGCAGAGATGTTTCAATAAAATTCTTTTGGGCCCAAATAGTCATATTTGTAGAGATATTTTTACACTGTATTTGCGCAGGAAAAATGATTTGAAAATGTGACAATGTATGTTACAGTATTGTAAAATGGTCACATCCTTCCTCATTGATTTATTTATTCAGTTTCTATATTTGCCCAACTTTTTATAGCCTTTGTAATTCAATTTCAATTTCAACTTATTTAAAAACAAAAGCAGATTACTTGGCATGTGCACATTAGAGTTTTTCTTGTGCTCTATTCAGCAGCCTATTCAGTCATAACAAAATACTAAGACAAGTGTTTCTATAAATATTAAGGTGATTGTGTGATGTTTGATAGCATTTTCCCCCTAAGGGTTAAAAAAAATCCTATTAATTTAATACTGCAGTTTTAAAAGTAAAAACAGTTTTCCACTTAACAGATAGTTGATTTGAAGGAAAAATAAATTAAGAAGACTGTGAAGAAAGCTAGAGAAAATTGCCTTGTCCTGCCAATGAGATATTATTAGATACCTAATGAAGGAGATTCTACAGGATAGAATGTTTGAGATAAAGTCTAGGAAACTGGCAGATTGATAACAGCATAGCTGTAAGTTATTTTATCTTTAATGAGTTTACACAAGGTTTTCTATGTATTCTGTGTATTTGGAACAAGAAAAAACAGCAAAAAGGAAATAATATAGTTTCATGTTCATATAGCACTAAAAAATTCAGGTATGTAATCTCAGTAGGTACTCAGTAACTCTCAGTAGGAAAGCTACCAACATCTGGATTATACCATGTGGGTAGCCCTACTTTAGCTCTATTCATTGATCACCTGTCACGTATACCCCACCATAATAGCCTCTACCTTTTAGGATCAAAATTCTGCATTAGAGTAGTGTTGTACTTACAGTTGTGGATTTTATTTGAATTTGAAATTAAACCAGACTGATCTATACCCTCCATACTAATCACAAATTGGAATACATTTTTCATTTTTATAAAATTCTTGTAATTATGTAATTAGCATAGTCTGTGCTAAATGGTATAGAAACAAATTTAAAGAGCTTTTGAAAATAGTCTGATGTTGTTAATGGTTCAAGAGCAAGAAGATTGCTTGTTTCTAATGTAAAAGATCATGGAGGGCAAATCTTAGCCCTTGTTACCTGTACTGTTATCTCATAATGAGTGTTGCATTCTTGTCTTACTCCTGTTGTTGTTTAAGTACAGTTGTTAACAGGAATGCTGAGACCATTAGTAGTGGCATTGGTAGTTGCTATGAGATAAATTATAGAGCTGTTTCCAAGTGATTGATTTAAACCTGCACCATGATTGCTAAGTGGTGCTTTGAGAGAATACTTTAGGTTCAGTCTTTGTTTGTTTGTGCCTTTGAATCAGTATTGATTACTGGCAATTGCCTGGGCAAATCCCTGTAGTTTTCTTGATAAGATTTCAGAAGTAGTTGGCCATTGCTTCCTTCATAGGGCTGAGAAAAAGTGACTGGCCTAAGGTTACCCAGTTGGCTTTGTGTCTATGGCAGATCTAGAACACAGGGTCTCCCAATTTCTAGCCTGATGTCTTAACCACTACAGCAAATTGGCTGCCTACTGGATTCAGTCATAGAATCAATTAAGAGTAGGGCCAGAACTCTGATAACACTCTTAGGGTCAGAGCCTATAAACAACAAAGAAGACTACATAAGAGCAATGATGATGCAGACAGAGCTTCCTGTCTGAAGTACTTTAACATACTGTATTTTGGGCTAGTCTTGAAAAGCGTTATGAGGCTACAGCTAGTACAGAGTGTAGCAGTCCAGGCAGTAATGAAAGTTTTTTGTTATATTCAGGTGAACCCATTGCTTTGGGTACTGCATTGTTTGCCAGTTGGTTTCTATGTGCAGTTAAAGGCACTGATGGTTTTCTTTGAAACCTTACATGGCTCCATATTTGGTTTTCCTGTTCTCAAGGCTAATCCTGTCCAGGTCCAATCTCTTTGAGAAAGCCATATGACAGGACAGGATATTTTCAACTGCTGCTCTTATGCTGTGGGGCTCTTTCACCCTCTTTGCTCTTCGGTTTTAGAAGACCAGGTAATACCTTGCTTTTCCATCTAGTCCAAGAGAAAAGCATGTTAAGAAAGATTGGTTGCATTGATAGAAACCTGACATGATCTTTTTTGTTCTATTCAATGTTATTGGGATTTTTAATTATTCCTTAGGGTGGGTGAGTGGGTTTTTATGAGGATTTTAACGATGTTTTTTATTGTTAGCCACTCAGCTTTTCAGGAATGGATGATATTGACATATTGCAAATAAATATATGAATCAGCACCAAGATGGAACTAATTATAGGATTTAGCACCAGATAGAGGCCTTGACCAAAGAAGAGGGAAATAAATATGATTAAACCTGAAGTAGAGACATACTCCCTCCAAGTGTTGCTGAATTGTAACAACTAGCATCCCCAGCCAACTGGACCAGAGATAATAGGTATTGTATTACAGCAGCACTAGAAAGACATAGCTACTCACTTCTGGAATAAAAGAAATAAAAACTAAGTATCCTCCCTAAACATGTAAGTAGTTTTTCCTGGCTGTAATTCTGAAATGGTTTAGAAGCTATTGGTAAGTGTCTGATAACAAATAACTAGAGAAACCAAAAATGTTTCTTACAACCATTGACAGAATTTAAAGAATGTGATGTTATGGCAAGCACATGAGAATTAGTAAGAAAGTATGAGGCAAATTGGATGAAAAACAACATCGTTACTATGAAGGAGTGATGTGACATAGAAATAAGCAATAATAAGTAGGTTAGCAAAACAAGTTGAGATCAAATAGCAGCTGTATCTAGCTTTTCCCAGGAAGATGTTTGTTCTTGAAGTGTTTGTTCATCCACACACTTGTTAATCAGCAGCTGAAGTAAACCATAGAATCAGACTTACAAGTCTACTAAAAGTTATTCAGATGGATACATTTATACACTAGACTTCATATTATAGTGAATTAGGCAAACACTTAAATTAAATAAACTGTAATTGAAATGGAAATCCAATCTTGATCCATACAGGTTTATTTCTAGTTTATTTTAAAAATTTATATACTATTTAAAATAGTAGTTATACTTTTTATAGAGTAACTGAGTATAAAAAGCTGC